TAATTAAGAGCATCTTCTGTAATTTCATGATTGCTAAGTTAAAATCTTGGCACCAGTACTCATCATCTGTGAGTCTAATACCAAGTAATTTAAGTATAACAAATTTGTGTTTATTCTTTTATCAGTAGGGACAATTACTACTTTGTTAACATGTAAGAATTAAGTGAGAAATGCATATTAATTTCTTTACTAGGAACTCACTCAAAAATATGGAGCTCTCTATGAATAAAAAATAAAGAAAAATTCTACCCTCATGGATCTATAATTAAGTCAGGGAAATATGTAATAAATAAATTAATTAATTAATAAGAATGATATAGTAATATATAAAATATTAATAAAAGTGCTTAAGAGAAAAATCAGATATTTCAGAGTAGTGTATTCTACAGTATATACATTACATATTTTTAATGACAAAAAATCTCTGATACAAATAAAGCATTTAGGGGAACTGAGAACAGAGGGAGTCCTGGTGAGGGAGGGAAATGGTTGAGAGTTTGCAATTTTATACAGAATGATCATCTGAGATGATTAAATCTGAGCAATGATTCAAAGGAGATGACTTAGATATCCAGGTGGCTACAAGCAAAAAGCATTTAGATCAAGAGAAGAGCCAGACAAAGCCTTTGAGACAGAAGAATGTATGCCATATTCTAGAAAAGGGAAAAGCAAGCCAGCTCACCAGAGGACAGTGAAGGAATGAGAAAATAATATGCGATGAGGTCAGAGAGGTGACAAGGTGGAGATGGAGCTTGAGGGTGGGACTGATTGCAACACGCTTTGTAGGTTGCTGTCACAACTTTAACTTTTTTAAGATGGATAGAGAGTCACTGGACTATTTTGAGCAAAGACATGGTATCATCTCCTTTTCATCTTTACCAGAGCGATCTGGCTGAGGTATGGAGAACAGAATGAATAAGATACGAGTAAAAACAGAGAGAAGATTTAGGATTATTATAATAATCCAGAAAGGATGGTGGCTTGGACAAGAGTGGTAGTGGAGGAGGTATTAAGAATAGCTGAGATTGTGGATAATTTGAAGAGGTCAAAGTTTAAAACTAGATTTTCTAAAATATGTAATGTAGGATGACAAAGAGATGAATCAAAGATGACTCCAAATTGTTGGCTCAAGAAACTGGAGATATGAAGTTCCTGTTAACTGGAATGCAAAGATCTTCAAGACCTGGTGTTGCACATGTCAAGTTCACAGGCTGTTGAATTTCCACATTGAGCTGCTGAATAGCTAGTTAGATATATGACTGGGCTTGCAATAGATTTAAGATTAATCATCACATAAAGTCAATTTTATTCATGAGATTATCAAGGATGAGGGTGGAGATAGAGGAGTAAAAGGCTGAATCCTACAGTGATTCAATATTAAGTGGTCTTAACATAGCAGCTAACACAAATGTCTTAGTAAATATTAACAAATCCATAAAAAGTTTCTTTTTTCTTATAAACAGCACTACTAAAAAAATGTCTTTAAGACATAGCCATAGTGCTCGCTTCGGCAGCACATATACTAAAAAATTGGAACGATACAGAGAAGATTAGCATGGCCCCTGCGCAAGGATGACACGCAAATTCGTGAAGCGTTCCATATTTTAACAAAAAAAAAAAAAAAAGACATAGCCATATAGAATTCTTTATAAATCCACAAAGTCCAGGGCTGATGAGGTTGCTCAGAAATGTCCCAAGACACCCAAGTTCTTTACTCCTTCCTTCTGGTTATCATGTCAGTCCCTTCATGGATGTAAAGTAGCTACTGAATTTCCAGCTGTTGTTCAGAATACCTGTAGGAAGAACAAAGTGCAAAAAACACAGGAAAGAAAAGAAGAGTCAGGCCAGTCAAATTCATCCCTTTTAACATCATTTCTTGAAAGTGCCACCCACAGAGATTTCTGCAGCTTTGTAAAGAATTAGCTGCAAAAACATATAGAAATGTATTTTATTTTTTCATATTCTATAGCAGAGGTTAAGAAAGTTTTAAAGGACTTAAATATTGTAAATATTGCATGATTCGGGGGCCATATGGTCTTTGTCCCAACTGCTTGACTCTGCCATCATAGAGAGAAAATAGCACTAGACAACATGGAAATGAATGTTTATTCTTCATAAACTTTATTTATAAAAATAAGAATGACCTGAGTTTGGTCTGCAAGACACAGTTGTCTGGCCTGTGCCCCATGGAGTGTGAGAAGTGGGGAAAAAACCAGTGTGTGGCTTTGAGGCTAGCTATTTTATAGTGTGGGTTTAGTGCAGGTTCTAAGCAGTTACCATTAAGTAAGGCTAATGAACTCCCTGCATAAGCTCTAGCAGAGATACTGATACGAGAAAATGTAGGTTGATGTAAAGCTCTACCACTTACCAACAATGTGGCCTTAGGCAGGTCACGTAACCTTTCTATGCCAAGTTTTCTCATCTATGAAACAGAAATAATAAAACCTGCCTAGCCTACCTTTCTCTACAGGACAGTAGGAGAATTAAATGGAATAATGTGAAATGAAATGAAAATGCTTTGACAACTCTCTGTATTCACAAATACAGGCTTAGCACAAAATTCATTCTGTCAAGTACATTGAGCTTTTCTTCTCTCTCTCTCTTTTAAGAAGTGTCTTTTCATATAATTACAAAATGAAATATAGCACACTGCAGGAAGCTAAAGTGTTACCTTTGTAGCCTAACCCTGCTGAGACAAGTGATGAGAGAAAAGTGAACTCAGATGTGAATTACTGGAAGATCTAAGTGAGAAAGGAATGGATGTAAAAAAAGTCAGAAAAATAAAGCTTATGATGGGTAGTTCAGAGAAAATATGACCCTAACAATGTAATGATTACATGATAGTTTGTGAGGAAAAGTATATCATATCGTCACATAGTATCTTTAGACTAACCAATCTTTTTGACTTTTTATTTATTATTAAAATGTTATTTAATAAATTTCTATATATCAGAAAATTAAAGTTTTTATTTTACTCATTGCATAAGACATATGGAAGATGGACTCAGGGGCCCTTAATTTTTATCCTAAATTCATCACTATTTTCCAGTATACTTTAAAACCCTGGGAAAATTATTTAATCTAACTTGTACTCATTCTTTTCACTTATGTGACATAGAAGTTAAAGTAGATATCATAGATATCTTCTAATTCTTCAATTCTATGTTTCTATTTAGAAAATATAAATCGTGTAGTGGCAAATATTATATTTTAATGGTCATTGAGCAACATAGTAAGTAAATAATGAATAATACATTTCTAATGATGCTCAGAATGCACATTCCTTCCTGTGGAAAAAATGACATCAACAGTAACACTGACCTTTCCATGGGAAGTGCAGAAGGCACTTGAGATTCCAGCCTGCAGGATAAAGTAAAATTTAAAATATGACCAAAAAATGAACAATATTATAATATACTGACCCACACCAAGGGAGTCCTTCATACTACAGAAAAAAATTATTAGAAATTTACTTTGAATTGTATTATAGTATATACACTTCCAAAATGCATTAATTTGCCAAATGGTAATCAGGAACCTTCACCTCCCTCTCCATGAATGAGCAGAAAAACATCTGGAAGAGCGAAGCATACAGATAAATACAGTAGAACCTCTGTAAGTTGACCATCCAAGGGACTGTAACAAATTGGTCAACATATTGAGGTGATTAACATAAGGAACTAGGCCTAGTGTGTTGATAGGTGCGTGTTCTTTACTTTCTTGTACAGCTTTCATCAGAGAATATCATAGGATTTCATATATAATCAAAACACAGCAAAATCATACATACAGTATCAAACAAATTCAATACACTTACTCTTGTGTCACATTTTAATCATTCTTTCTCATAAGGAAATAAAGAGAATGTTTCATAAAGAATGTTTCTTACTCTTATTACAAATGTAAGTGGAGACAGCACTGTCCATGTGGGTTATACCACTCAATATAGCTTGGCATTTGTCATTAGCAAAAGATGTCACCTGCATTATCTGTCATGGGGCTCCAAGCATCGAGCCTCGCGTTGGGCACCAAATGTTGGGGTCCCACAGCTGGGGCAAGGTCCTCTAAGAGCTGTGGTACTGGTGTGACTGACTAAAGAAATATAAAGTTATGAACAATAATAAAGAAAAAGACAGGACACACAGAATAGAATTTTCAAAGGTGGGAGCTCAGGGGACTACCACCTGTTTGTGGGCTCCAGAGAGTGGCCCCAAGTCTTTGTTCCACACAGTTTTTACTGAAATCTATCTGCCCAGGTGGTAAGCTGAGGGAGGGAACAAAGACCCCAGCAGTTTCTCTGAGTCATCATATCAGCTCCTATCATTATTATTATTATTATTAACTTTAAGGATGTGGGTAGTTTGGAAGCATCTGAAACTTGAGCCTCATGTGGAGGAAGCCTCCTGTCTGAAGTCACACACACAGATTCCTGAGGAGGTGTTATGCTCCACTAGTTCACTGTGGAGTAAAACACCATTGGTGTTAATCTCCTCTGAGGAATCGGTGGGAGAGAGGCATTTTCCTCTCATAACCACCACAGAGGATTTTCCTCTGCGATAAGGGATGTTAAGCTTTCCTGCCCATATCTCAGGGCTTGAGCTATTCCCTTGGTCTCTTCCCCAGCCAAATGCAAATCTCCACAATGGGTATCTGCTTTGTCTGTTTAATGGGCAGGAAATAACCTAGAAGATGTATCTATTCTAGGTCTTGTCATAATCTCTTTTATTACCATTACCTTCCTCAGAGTACTCACAGACTCAGCAGGGTACTGGTGTAAGCTATATCCCCAATAGGCTTGAGTTTTAGGAAAGGCCGGAAACTTGTTCAGATAAGAAATTTAACAATGGCTAGCTTTTCTTCATTCTGACTCCTTCAGCTTACTTTTTAATTTTCCTTTTCTCTGGGGGTGCCCTCCCCTGCCAAGAATGGGTCTTCGGTCCCCATTGTGCCTGCATTATCAATGTCTGACATCCTCTTTTCTTTTTTTCTTTTTTTTTTCCACCTGTCAGGGCTTGGGTTTCACCCCACACACACAAAGCAGTGGGCAGTGAGCTGAGGCCCCTGCTGGCTCTAGGTGCTGCATCTCACTTCCAGCTACAGCCAAAGCTGGGAGTGATTTTTAACCAATGCCCAGACATCCTCTTTTAGAGTCTCTTCAATTTCTGTGTCATCCTTACTTGTTAACTCCACTTCATCAGGTGCCTCATGTACTTCTATGCTGATATGTACTTTGGTCAATACAGCTTGGAAAATTGCTTCTGGGTCAGGTTCATTACAGGCTGTGACCTCATCCTCCTTTGCAACAAAACCTTCAAAGTCTGCTCCTTACAATTCTGCCTTGGAAGAATTCATGGAAGAATTCTGTCTGATGGGCCCAAACATCGCACTCTTAGGTTATGACAAATTCCACTTGTTGAAATATGTTAGCATCATTTCTATAAATAGCTGAAATCTGTTCAAAGAAAAACTGACCCAGAAGACAGCACCACAGTGTTCACTTATGCAACAGATGAAGTTGCTTCCATAGGCAAATCACAGGTTTCTGTTCCAGTAATGACTCACAGCTGGACCTGAGCTCAGTAGTGCATTTCAAATGTTAAGGAGAGAAATGGAGAGGGAAGTGAGGGGAAGGTGCAGGTTTAATGGGGGAGGTAAATGATGGGGCCACACTTATGGAGCATATTGCAAGGGTACAAGTCAAATCAGTCAAGTGTAGAACATAAATGTCTTAACACAATAATCAAGTAAATAAGGCAAAAGCTATGTTGATTGGTTTGATGCAAGCATGTCAGATTGTATAAAAAAACAACACATTGTACTGCACATATGCATAAATATATTCATGATCTATATGTATATGACTTAATTAAAAAACAAAAGAAAAGAAATAAATAAAATGTTTTGATGATGCCTTGGTCAAAGTTGGATTTTTGAGGTTGTGTTTGGAGGCAGAAATTTCAGTGTCATGTTTGTGAGATGATTCACTTTCAGGTGGCCAGGACAGTTGTCTACTGTGTGTATAATAGACTGTTTCCTCTTTTTCATTTCTTGGTCCACACCCTTCCCCCATTCTCAAGTCATGCACCAGTTATCAGTTATCCGTGCATTTTGGTTTGATCTCCAAGTGATGGGGAGGTCTTTGGACTTCAGGTTATTGAATGTGCATGGTATTGCCAATTTATCGATCACCAGGAGCTTTAGTGTCTCTCAGGTTGAGCTGGCATGAAGCACAACTGTGAAATATTCTTTAGAAAGTTTCCTGTTCTTACTGTGTCACCCTTCATGATGAGGCTGTTTGTCAGGCTTTAAGAGATGTGCAATCAGATATGAGATGATACACATGGAACTTCTTAGGTGCCAGTGGACAGTGATTTAGATCACGACTGCTACCTAGAAACCACATTGAAAAAAATTGCAATCAAGGGAACTGAAGCAATAATTTCACAACATATTCAAGAAAGTTCAATTAGTAAACTTCTGGTAATTGACAAATATTACATTTGCAAGTGATTATTACAGTTCTAAGAGCAATTTTAAATAGACAATGGTTACATTTAATTTCAGGGGATATACTAAAAACTGTTTTTTGAGAAAATCATTTTGCTTAATTGTTTTAAAGTTAAATGGAAATCATTCAGTGTAATTTCAAATTTAAAAAATATACTTAGCTTTATCTAATGTTGTAAGTTGTTAATTTACATGTAAGCAATTATATTTAATTTCAGAAAATTAACTCAAACTCTTTAAATTTTATTTATTCAGTAAATTATAATATATGTATGTTATATTTATATGAGAGTATTTTACAAATTCTTTTTGCCTCAAATGTGTGGTATGATATGAATACATTCACACCAAAGCTTTCCTTTTGTTAACTGAGAAAAGTCACAAAATTATTAACATATTTTTGTTATTTATAATTAAAAGGATCTGGAAGGAAGAAATTAAAAGCTGGATAAATTTGTAATTTTCAGAATTTGCTATTATACCTGCATGAGATTTTTATTGCCATCATAAAAAATTGCCACAAATTGAGTGTCATAAAACAAAGCAAATTTATTATCTCATAGTTTCCGTAAGTCAGAATGTAGGTGGTTTCAGCTAGTTTCTCTGCTCCATCTTGACTTCGGCAGGTAGAGGTCAAGCTGTGGTCAGAATGGCATGTCTTCTGGGACATCTAAAAGAATCTGTTTCCTTCCTCAGGAAGGATGTTGGCAGAACACAGTGCATTTTGGTTATGAGATTCCAAGTCCCTGTTTTTGACAGTCAGCCTGAGGTCAGATGTACAGATTTAAGACCCTGAACCAATTAAATGATATAGCCAAGATAAGTTTAATATCGTTCTTCCATCATTCTTTCAGAAAGTATTTGCTGAATGCCTAGTATATACTGAACTCTCTCTTAGCGACATCAGAACTCTACTAGAAATCTGCAAGTGTGAATTAATAAAAGTTATCCCTGTGGGCTATTCTGCAAAGAAAATGTAATATAAATAACTATTGAAGTTATTTAGTTATTTTGAGTTGTAGAGACATGTTAAATATCTACATTAAACTTTAGAGTGATTTCAAGGGAATGAAATTTATTTTCAGATGGGGCTTTTTAAAATAAGGAAATATTTTTTTAAAAGATGTATCTACAAAGTGTTTTTCATGTTAGTTCCTCTGGATAGTTACCCAGCTTTTCTTTGTTTTCTACCAAGGTCCTTTGAAAAATTGAGAGTGAGAAAATGTATATCCAAGTTTTAGGAAGTTGTCCAGTGGGACAACACAGAAGATCAATGGCACCAGCTTGTATGCCTGGAGCTCAGGCTTTATCCTTTATCTCAGTTCCTTTTTTTTTTGTATTTTTAAAAATTTATTTCTTAAGAAAAAGATTTTATCATTTGATCTCAAATGTTTTTTTCCAGAACTTCCAAGTATAAGATAGTTCATGCATTTCCTTCATTTTATAGAATATTAATAGAGTAAGTACAATGGCAAAAATCTTTCTTTTTTTTTTCCCCCACTGCTGCCAGGCCATTATCTTAAGTTACAGTATTAGAACAGGAGGATTATTACTAAGTTAAGTAAGCAACACTCATTAAAAGTGTGCTTTCACTTTAGATTCACTCAGAATATGAATGTGTCTGCAGCAGTCTTATAATGAAGACCTACTGGAAGTACTTTTTTTTCCTGATGCAATAATCCAAATCAGGCATCCTGAATATTTATTCATATTCCTAGGAAAGATAGTTCTAACATTATACTCTTATATGTACACTAAAAGAGGAAAATTATATGAAATGATTACCACAATAAAATAATGTATATATTTAAGTGAATTTGAAAGAAATGCAGCTGCATCAGTTTCATTGCAAAAAAAAAAAAGAAAAGAAATGCAGCTGCTACCACTATTTATTATTTCAAACATAATAATAAAAGAAGACATTTCTAAGGAAAATTGTATACATACTTTTACAAAAGTAATTTTGAAATATATACAGTAGAAAAGTTATAAAAAGTTAATATATGTGAGATCATTTATGTTGATATTCTAATTTAGAGGTAACTTAGTGTGGGGCTGGCCTGTATGGAGGTATTCAGTCTTGTCTGTAGAAACAGAATGGGGGGTGGGTGGCTCACCTCCTGTGGCTCAAGTGGCTAAGGCGCCAGCCACATACACCTAAGGTGGCAGGTTTGAATCCAGCCTGCGCCCGCCAAACAACAATGATGGTTGCAACCAAAAAACAGCCGGATGTTGTGGTGGGCACCTGTGGTCCCATCTACTTGGGAGGCAGAGGCAGGAGACTCACTTGAGCCCAGGAGTTGGAGGTTGCTGTGAGCTGTGATGCCACAGCACTCTACCCAGGGGAACAGCTTGAGGCTGTGTCTCAAAAAAAAGAATGGGAGAAAAAAATCAAAATACAGTCTGAATTTCTCATTTCCAAAGGTTCTCTTGTTTATAACCTATAAGAAAATAATAATAGACTAACAAATTGGAGGAAGGAGAGAGAGGTACAGAGAGAATCAGCTGAGATGGATCCATGATGCTTCCTCACTCTTGTCTTAATTTAGACATCCCTTTATTGGTGACATAAACCTTAAAAGTTGTCCCATTAAATTTATAGGTCTTTATCTCTCTTGTGCCTGGAGGCTTAGAAACTGCTTGGTTTTGTTTTGTTTTGGCATGGTCTTTTGCTTTTTTAATATTCCTTCCATAACAAGAAACAATACTTGCTGTAAGGGAAGGCATGTGATAGCTTCACACCAAAGCTTTATAAACATCTGTCAGCCAGCTCCCTGGGCTCCTCCTCATTGAAGGCTGTAATTGTCTGACTGGATAGTTCATAATATTAGAGCTCAGTGAGGGGCCATGTCAAGAAAAAATATTTAAAAATAAAAACAGTAAATACTAGTCCATGCTGTTTTAAGGGATATGTCTTGCTAATTTTATGCAGGGTATCAACTATTTTAAATTGAATACCAACTTTATGAACACCCTCTATAATTTTAACTCAGATATTATTAAACATTTATCAATAGATATGTGCAAAAAATGGTTTGAAAGCTATAAAAAGTAATTTTATTTTGCTCTATTTCATTTTCATTCTGAATTAGTAAACCAGATATTTTAAGCCCCTTGTAAAGAAAACAATAGCTTCCTTTCTCAGCCCTTAAGTTATATTATTAGCCTGCTCAACTAGTATCAAATATGAACCAGGAATAAAAGTCTCCTTTACTCAAAGTCAATGTGTCTAAGCCATACCTAGTTATGTGTAGAGCTATGAACAATGAAAGTTATTTAAAATCACTTGAACTGAAGATCAAAGCATATTTTAAACTATTTCTGTCTTTTCATCCATATTCTAATATTAGAAACCATTTCCTGTAACTGCATATGATGTTTAGTTTTGTTTACTTAAATATTTACTAATATGTTCAACATTTAATTATTATAAATAAAACAGGAAAATAAAAACATTTTTAGACACCTGTATTATGAATGAGTCAGAGTGATCAATCAGTAACTGAATTTAAAATTCTTAATTAAGATAAACACATGCTTCATTTTCCTCAGTTTTATTAGAAAATGAAAGTCTATTTCTTAAAACAGAGCCAAATAACGCCATATTGAAACCTCTGCCTT